AAATTCGACTCCGCGTGGCTCTGTCCGACTGCCGATGACTGTCAGCGTCAGTGCACACAACCTCTGCCTCACCTCTAACGAGACCCCTCCAACCCCAACTTCTATAACCTCCAAACTTAGTATCGGTAGCAGCACGGCAGGAGTAGAACAGAACGGTGGTGGTGGTGGCAGCCGCTGGCGATTCCGCGAGCTCTTCCATGGTGCCTTCTTATCCACCTCGCCGAAGAGCCACGAGCCCGTTTTCAGCCCCCCCGCCAGGGAGGAGTTCAGAGTTGGGGAGTCCGAGACCCAAAGGGAGAGTCTCTTCTTTCCCAATGTTTCCAATGCCGAGGACGATGGTGGTAATAGTGGCGGTGAGGATACACCACCCGGTAAAAAGACGTCGCATCGATATTCAGAACTGGTGAGCATCTTAAAAACTGCCTTGCGTTGTGTATTTTGCCGAAATAGTGTGATGGACTCTGTGTTTCGGTTGATTTGCCCTACGTTGCTGGGGGAACTTGGATGCCACGTAAACTGACTAGAAGAAAACAAAAAAGCACAAAACCCTGTGTGCAATATAGCCTTCAAGACATTGGTTTATGTGTCCAATCGCGCCTTTGACAATAAACTGGTTAGCTACGATAATTCTAGACGTAAGGTTTTTGGTAGATGCATGAGCAACCCTCTAGAGGAAATTTTAAAACAGAATATTCATAAAAGCAAAGTGCAACTGTGTGTCTACTGAGACCAAAACGTTGTGCTGGATTACGACCGGTTGAAACCATCTGAAACCGGTGAACGAAATCAATAACAATTAATCAATTTGAGTCAAGCACTTACCGCTAAAAAGCCACAATATGATGGGAGACAGGATAAAGCTAGGCTCCCCTGTTGCAGCAGACTTTGGATGCCCTTCACGGAAAAATCCTACTGCACCAGACAGTGCTTCATCAGAGTGTCGCTTCTTAGGTTGATGCAACATCACCTTGATAAAAGGTGCCTCTGTTCCTATGAGGACGTCGAAACTGGACACTAATAATGAACTGCTTTAAAAGATGGACCGTTTTTATACCGCGCTGTTATCCGAAAGATAGAAACAGGCCATAGCTGCCAAGGAACAATGTAGTCAGTAAAAATATAATGCATAGTTAGTTTTAAATAAACGTTGTTTCCTTTGATCAGGAACGGCAAGAATTAATTCCCATATTCACCTGCTACCTTTCATACTGTGACCTGGAGCACAGCAGTCTGATGGTCACAAAATCCAACGTTTATGATACTTCCTCTGGCTGTCAATCTCCTGTGCACTATAAAAATAATTTAGCACTATTTACCTACCCTGTGTTTAAACCGTGGGAGATTTTAGTTCTAGTTCACAACCTAGGTCTACACGTCTTCCACCATTAATTTAATTTAGCATGTAAAGGCAGTAGGCGGGATTGGTTTCTTCATCCACTGATCAAGAAGTTCCACAACGGTATAGGTCGATAGAGACATTGGGACATTGTTCTAATCGGCAGATTTTTAGCCAATCAGCATCTCCTCGTCACAAAATTTGTTGAATTATTAATCCGTCAATTTTTCAGTCTTTTTATATGACATGCCGTTGCCAGCTGAGATAAGCATGGGTAAAATGCCACTGACATACCCCCACACGGTACAGTTTACGGGGATGTTATGTCGCGTTTAAGTACCGTGCCACTCTGGTAATCATATTTTAAAAAAAACTGATTATAAGCAGTGAATCTAGCCTCACTAAGGAAGATCTTTGTAGGCGTTTGGCCGGTGCATGTTTTTTTTGAAAAATGGGGAATGGAGTGCAGCATAGTTGTGAGAGTAGAGGAGAACTGCGATCTACTATTTAGGACTTATGTCGGTGTGACTTATAAAAATGGCAATACTACATCTTAATTTCTCCAGTAAGTTCTCCACGACCAAAGATTCTATCATTAGTAGCGCAGTTCTTTGCAACTGGGTTCATACATATCAAATTATCCTTTAGAACGCCTCTGCAAGCATTTAGGTACTACTTACTGCTTTCTGACTTAATTACTTATAAGATACCCTTACTGATTTTATTGGAACTACTCCCGTTAGTTCATATTCTACGGTGGCCGCTCTGGCGTAGATTTACGAGCATTTTATTGTCAACTACCTCTTGTTTTTATAATTATAAATGCCGTTTGTAACCCTGAATATGAGCTAGTCGCTCGTTTACATCAGCACATTACTGCACTCCACCAAGGCTCATGGTACTGACCCTTGAGGGGGCAACTAAGTAAAATCCACTGTTGTGAAAAGTGCACTGCTGCCCACCAAACTAAAAAAAGCCAAAAGCCGTAAAAGGACATCTGTTTGGCCTACGCACGCTGTTCTCTACTAATCTCTTACCATGTAGACAGGTAAAAGGCAGTCTGTCCTCTTACTGATTTTCAGAGCACCTGCGTTGAAAGCCTAAAGCCCATCTTTGAGGTCGAGGGCAGCCTGGATTCGCTGAATTCGCCGACACCACCAACACATAGCCCCACGGAAAACTGGCTGCCACCTCGGATCCCAGTCCCTGGTCGAGGTCCAGGTGGCAGGAAGGCAATCCTCAGCGAGGGATCGGAGGAGTCTATCGATGAGGCCCACTCACTCTCTTCCAACGAAACACCCGGTAGTCCAAGTAAGATCTGCATTTAATGTACAGCCACTAGTCGCTCGGGTACACCCGAGCTAAGCCCATCGGCCTCTGAAGCGGTTTGTGACTAACAGCAGACACAAATGGCCAGTCTTTCTGGGCATTTGTAGGACATCTTGTATTGCGCCAGATTAATCTTCAATTTCTGCTACATGTTTAATAGAACTGACCTCGTTCCGGTCCTAAGCTTGAATAGATTATGCTCAAAACATGTGCAATGCTGTTAGCCCCAGCATAGCCAGTTGTCTTTAGCACATCTGCAAAGAACCTTCATCTTTTTAATGATGTAACAACACTGTGGTTGAAGGATGTAGTTCTAGTATTTTATAAAGTAAGAAGCACCGGGAATTCATAAGGCAAAGGGCCATGTGTGTCAAGTTATTTGTTTAAAAAATCAATTACAAAAAGATAAATAGTTGTGTCTGTTTGCCTTTTCCGGACGTTCGTATGAGTGGTACGTATTGCTTCAAAAGTGTGTTAATTGCGTTTACCGCCTACACGAACAAACCCTGGACCACAAAACTTTTAGATTCCTGGACAGTTGAGAAGTTATTTTTCAGTAAAAGGCGTTGCTTTTAAAGATTCTATTAAAAAACTTGTGAAAATATTCATCTTAAGTCATCCTGAGGACCTCAAAACAACTGTAAAAACGTACTTCTTGAACATGCATCTCTCTGAAATGTTCGC